TTTTTGCGGTTCACCCTGGACGACAGATCTACATCAAGGTTGGTTGAACAAGATACCTGAACACTGGCCATCAACCACAAAAAGAAATCCCTCCTATCGTCTGGTAAGGACTTCATATTACTCTATATGTAGAAGATACAGCAATATTATTAAGGTACACATCTATGCCCAATGCTAAGAGCAGGAAATACTTCCTCTCTTACTCCGCCCAGACCTGCAGGGGAATTTTAAAAAAGAAGAAGAAAAAGAAAAAACATAGGGAAAATGTCTGACCTTGCTGCTCTTTACAGCCTGGCGGGGAAGGAAGGGTGGCAGGAAAGGAAGAATCCCGAGTTCTGCTAGTGTGTTCGGTTCACATTCTTTTGAAAAAGACTTCAAAGTCTACCCAGTACTTAAAATAAGATGGGAAGTAGTGGGACTAACCTGGAGGAGTTTACAGGCAGAAGCAGGGGAGGAAACAAACAACAGAACTCTTGATTTTCAAGGTCCATCATTTGCTTTGGAATAAAATCTCTGCTACTCTGGCTCACGCTTATCAGGCAGCCAAGGGACACAGACACCCCACCCACAGTTAACTTAATTGGAATCAGACATCCAAATCCACTGGTTAGCTTTAAAAAAAAATATCCCAGGTTAGCCTGGGTGTTATTCCAAAAGGGCATGCCCTCCATTTGCCACCCTGGAACAGCCAGCTTCACGTGGGTTTAACCAGGGGTGACTCAAATGAAAGGAGAGTTGTTGACACACTTTTTTTACCAAAGAAGGAGGAACAGATGTGCACAACTGCACCTCTTACAGTCCATGTGCCTGGCCAGGCAGGAAACCAGCTAGTCCACAGACAAGGCACGCAGTTTGCAGATACATTGACTGACAGGAGCACAGAGATGGCAGAACCAGTTATCGGTCCTGCACCATCCTCTGTTAGATTAAAACACGTCTAATGAAAGCACCAGTATTCAGCATCACCATCTGACTATCAAACAAAAGGCTTCCCTCACCAAATGAAGACCTTTTGCTATTTTGTGACCGAATGGTCACAGAATATTGTACCCAGCCCACACAGATTAGATCCCAAATTAAAATATGCAATCTTGACAACGACCCCCTCTACTCTGGGTCATCAGCAGACAGGACACCGGACACCCAGCACACAGCCCACGCCAGCGAGCTACAGGAGCAGCTCCAGGAGCTAGCAGCAGTAGTTGGCTTGCCCTTTTTATTCAACAGCTGCTGAAGAGGATGCATAGAGACTATAGGCAGTGGGTCACATACACAATGCTAATGAACGCTGCTGAATGCTACTACAAGTAGTCCCAGCTTGTTGACTTGCCGGAACAATTCCCAACCATAGGCATTACGCTCCTGTAGTAAGTGCCGGGAAAAACAGGCACCTCGGTCCCATGCTGGAGGAACCTGAGCACAAAATACAACTCAGTGGGTAGCCTCACTAACTGTAAACTTTGACTGAAGTATTATCTGCCTCTGTTTCATACATGGCTTTGCACGACAAAGCATCCAAATTTCTATAGCAGCAAGTCACACAAAGAAATTTTCATGGCCAAGGAGCTTCTTTATGGACTGAGGCTGCTGTCCTTTTGCTCTTCAGGATTGTTTTGTTTTTTTTAAATAAATCCCCAAGGTGGGAGGGTGAGGGTGGAAATTGCTTACATTTGAAATTGTCTAATGAACATGCTAAATTTGATAAGGCTTCTCCAACCTAATATAGTAGGTAATGTCAGAACTGACAGGCTATGTATATTAAAAAGTGAAATTATTGTAGTCTTCAGTATTCAAAAGGGGGTACAAAACTACTACGCCCCCCCATCACTGCTGCTTTTTAAGGATTTTCAAGTCAGCAGAGTTATAAATGATCAACTGTTACAGAGCGCCTTCCAGCACTTGGAAGCAAGACAGATTTTTATCAAGGAACAGCAGCCACGAGAAAGCATACGTATATTCTTTTCATCTCGCTGTTTGCCATATACCAGACCCTCCACAAGTTAAACCCCTGCAGCAAATTTCCTAAAACAATGCCTCCAAGTTGTCCTGGACTTCACAAGGAGAGCAGGATTACACATCATGCTGTAATCCACTGGAGGCAGTCACCAAGGATTTTCCGCGAGGGTCATTCTAAAAAAAACAGGGAAGAATGCTCTGCTGTTACAACCTGCCACTTCTGGCTCAGTAACCAATTTGCATCACCAGAGAGGTGTCAAATCATGGAGATGCAGTTAAAAAAGCCCCAAAGAAAGCACTTTACTGGCCTATGGTTTCAAAGGGGAAAACTAGCCAATTAAAGTGAATCAGAAGGGGGGAAGGAATGAGCACAAATTATCATGCATGCACAAACAGGCGAGTGCGACCCCGCAGACCACAGCTAGCATGTGATCTGGCAAGGGAGGCGAATGCAGCCGGAGAACCAATGCAGCCGCTGCCCACTGAAGAGTTAATCGTGCCGAGGCAGGTCAAAAGGGCTCCCGAAGGAAGGGGACGGATGGAGGGAGCGCTGCCAGAAGGTCTGCCTGCACAAGAAGGGGGAACGCGCCTGCAGCCTTGCTTCCACCTCAGCACCCAATCGCTGTCAGGGTGGAAGGCCACCAAGACCACTGAAAAAAGCCCAATCTGCATTTTGCTAAACGCACCAGGAAGGAAGACTACTCGGGAAACAAAAAAATCTCCCCTCCAACCTAGAGAGAGACAGAGACATTTCATTAAATGCCATTAATCTCCACAGACCCAAGCATTAGCTAGTTAATTAGACTAAAGTACAGTCACATTTTAACACTGAGCATTCAGTATTCAACTGGGATAAATGAACAACTGAAGTCCAAAACCTTAATTCAGTATTTAATTATAAAACAGAAAACAAAAAATTCAGATTATGAAATGCAGTCCAGAATAATACGTCATAATTGATGTAAAAATCTGTTCTTTATTGCATCTGATTTTTTCCAATTTCCTGATAAGGCTCCTTTCAACCTTAAGATTTTTTTTTCAAGTGCCCTGTAGAAATCCCAACACTTTAGAAAGGACAAGTGTGTAAAAAGCAGAAACAGACACTGCTGACCTCTCCAGAGAGAGCAAGTTCCTGCTAAGAGTGGAATCCAGCGTACGTTCCAGGATTTGCCCCACACTTGAAAGGTATCTGTTACCAAAAACAAAAACAAAACCCACAACCAAAACACTACGTGGAGAACAACAAAATTCCCTTTGTAAAAATGACCTGATTTTGCATTCTTTAACACAAAAATTTAACTCACTAATATCCTCGGCATAAGACATGCCCTGGTTTTTTTAATTGTTATAGAAGAAATCACATGGGACAGCTTAACAGCTCTGTTGTAAGCGTTATAAACTTTTACCAGTTATCTGTTTCTACAGTGTTGTTTGTAATTGAAAACAGTTTAAAATGTAAATAAGCCTTTAAAAAGTATTGGGAAGGGAGAATGGAACATCAGTCACAGTGCAAGATCATCTTCATACTTTAATTATGAAACCCTTCAAAATTCTGGTAACTTTAAATTGTATCTTAAAGACAGCATTAATCCAACAACATAATCCAGAAGCCCCAAGCCCTGCAAACTATAAACTCTTTGCTTAGCGCAGAAGCAAGCCAGGCACACCATTATTAACTAATTGGTTATTAGATATGTCCTATGAAGAAAAGAACCTCTTAAATATTTGACTACATTAGTTCAGTTTAATTCTGCAAGTACGTGGCCGGGTTTTGTTCTCTTTTTTTTTTTTTTTTTCTTTTAAAGAAATCACTAGCACCTCTCCTGCTATAGGCCTAGGGTCTTTAAATTACATATAATTTTTCCTAGATGCATGTTTTGTACAATATTTAACATTACGGTTCCACACGCTATTAAACTGCTTGCTTTCACGAGGAGCTACATGCAATAAAATTGTTAGGCTGAACTTGAACTTGTTCAGGTAGTCTCCTGCCACCAACTTTAAACCGCTTTTCCTTATTGACTTGCATCCACAACTTTGCAGCCTCGTCTTTCCATCCTTTTTTAACAGAACGCTGAAGTAACCCAAGATGATTAAGAGTGTATACAAGCGGCACACACCAGCTAAATTAAGTTCTTCCAATAGATTCTCAAAAACAAATTAAAAAAAAAGTCAATTACAAGTTTTCTTTCAGCCTCTGGCTTTCAAAATTCAAATACAACTGACTGCACATTTGGATTTGAAACTGATCTGTTGTTTTCGTTAGGCACAGCCTAAAGAGCAACAACCACTTCTATTCCATCAGCAACTCCTCCAGAAGAAATGGCACCCAGCGATATTTCAGAGCAAGCATGCAGACAGAAGTTCCTCTGCACATGGCTACAGCGTCTTTGTCCCAACGTAGAAGCCGGCCACACTACAGCAAGAGTGCCCTGGAAGAAGAAGGTCACTGCTCCAGCCAGCTTCATCGGCTAAGAGACTTAAAGCTCATTGTTTCACTGTTCTTGCAAAAGAATACCCTGTGGCCTGAAGAGTTCAGAGCTTCATCAGAAACTTGCTATCCAGTGCTTATTAGTCTCCAAACACATCTCTGAAGTTATACAAAAGAACATTTGCAAACAATGAAGGCAGAGATATATTCCCATCCATGACAACCACAGAACTGAAAGCTCATCTCAAAACAAGCCCGAAGTCTGCACTTAATCCAAATGCTCTTCATAAACACCATGCAAAACACATTGCGTAAAATAGCGTAACAAACGCAAGTAATGCAGCAACAATCTCCCGCTAGCACTAGAGAAGTCTTTGCTTTTCAGCCAGCCACAACTGACCGGGACTCTGCAAGGAGACAGTTAAACTGGAGACACGTAATATCGCACAAAGCAGCTCTCCTGTAGTTTCACAGCCATACGCTGATACCCTTAAGACGCCATGCACTCTGGCTTTAAAAGCTTTCATTGCCAATTCCCTGTTTGAAACCTGAACTGCCTGGCAACAATGATTCTCTGTGTGCCTAAAATCCTATTATCGATCCTCCTACTTACCTTAGGCTGTGCTCGTCGGGGAAATGCAACTTTAGGGTCAATCTGAGGAAAAAGAAAGGGGAAATCAACAAGATAGCTTTTGTTGTCAATTTACATACTTTTTTTTTTTTAATCACTGAATTATTAATCCCTCATTTCTCAGGCTTATAATTCAGCACATCGGGTCATCTAGAACTACTCTGGAACTGATGGATCAGTCTGTGTTTGTATGGGGTTTTCTTGGCAGGGGGAGGGAGATGGGAAGAAAGGAAGAAAACACCTCTTCTGTACACCTCCTACATCATCTTCTGGGCAACCATCTCCGCGGGGGCTCAGGGAGCTCTGTATTAGTCTCTGGGTGCTGCCTCTACAACCAAAACTGCACGTTAAACATTATCTGTATACACTGGAGGTTGCACAGAAAGATGGCCAGCATTCCTGATCAAGATCTTAACCTGTTGTTTTTGACACCTGCACCTTCCTTCAGTTGGGTTTTGGGTTACTTTGTTTTTCTTTTAGTTTCCTGCTTTGTTTTGTCAACTGACTAGCAGCACAACACAAAAAAGAAATGCAAAACACAAAGTCAAATTATTTACATTTTAATTATTAAAACTAAAACATTAGAAGGACTACAAGATTATCCTTCATAACAATATGCCAAATTGATCTGGTTTGCTTACCCTCAAAGAATGCACGTGAGCAATGAAAGACCACAAAGGGGCATTTATGGAAAGGGGGGGAAGAGGGGAGAGCAAGACACAAACGCAACATACAGGCATTTTAAACCAGAAGAAACCAAGTTCTTAAAAAAAGATTTTCCATGAAGGAGTTACCTATAGTATTCTTGCATGAAGCACACCACCACAGAGACAAAAAGGAAGAAAAAAAAAAAAACCAACAAAACCTTTGTTTTACCCCATGCTCCCTTGTTTTAAGATGCAGCATTGACTCTCATCACACTGCATAAATTAGAAAGCGTGTCCACTCTGCAATTCCAAAATGCTAATTCTGCAATTTTAAATACAACTTCCACATGGGTCATCTTTAAAAAGCCACTCTACCATTCAAAAAACACTTAAAAACAAAAGGACACCACCGCAGATGCATGGCTGGATGTAAAGAAAAATCACACCTTTTAAACAACTGCCCATCTTAAATTGTCATCTTTAAAAATGATTGCAATAAAATGTCTACATGCTGCTGATTTCACCTCTGTTTTTTAGCAGCATCTGCATGCAGACATGTTCTAAATAAAGAGTCTGGAAAAGGATTTTTTAAAGGACTAAATCCTACCTTAACTGTGCAACTTGTGACTGCTTTCAGTGTCATCTTTGACTATATAACAAACGGATGAAACTAATCCTGATCGTGTTAAGGCATATTGAGAAGTAGAGGTTTTATTTAATAGTTTGGGTTTGTTTTTTGTTGGGTTTTTTCCCCCCTCAAGCTAACCCAGATTAGGAAAAGGAGATGTTTCCATTTGGTATTGTTATTCCTGTGGTGATAAATAGTCCTGTCACTGATAAAAAAAAACCATGGGCCTCTCCTAAAAAGCAGTTTTACTCAATTAATTTGTCAAAATTGGAAATAGCACAAACATTTGATGTGCGACCGATAAACTGATTTGTCCACATTGGATACAAATGTACTATCTTTTTTACGACATACCTGAGAAATGAGCGATTACATGACACTTTTGTTCAAAAAGCATAAAAAGTAAAATTCTTTATCTAGAAAGCTAACCTTTTCATAGAGATTAACATTATCTACGAATATATTCAGCACTGACTAGGCATTTGTCTACTGGGGAAATACAACAGGTACGGATTTTCCATAGCAATACCCAAAGGTGGAGGCAAATATGCACATTTCTATATTTGCTTCAAAAGTGAAAAGTTTTCTCAATAAACACCACCAGTCCCACCAGAAAGACATCACTGCAAAGTCACGCTGGTAAAAAGTTGGAAGAGCCATTAAACTCTAAAGCAACGCATTCATTTTTGAAGGTCAGTTCAAAGAGCATGGAGTTCCTTGCACCACAGCAACAGCCCTTCTTAAATAACCTAATTTTCCTTTACAAAACCTTTTGGATAAACACCATCAGCATTTGAAGATGAACATTAGCAACCAACATGGCAAATCCATACCTTTTGCATATCCCTGTCAACTATTTAAACAACAACAACAAAAAAAAAATCTACCAAAAAAAAATTAGTTAGTTAGGTACAATTCTACTTACTGTATCTACAAGTCCTCTAGGAAATGACTATAATACTATTTCTGATATGAATGGCCATTACCTAAACAAAGCTTTTAACGTAACTGTAAACAAGAGCGACGTTTCCATGCCAATACCCAACCGATCTGCCTCCTGCGCTGAACGTTGAAACAGAGTCAAATGCTATGTTATACTAAAGAACAGTTACTACAATACGTCTACAAATAAATGGCTGAAAGGGAACCTGGCTAGTTTTATGTTTTACTTTTAAGCTGCCTTACTGATTCTAAGGTCGATTTCTTGTTTAGATTGATTCAATCATTATCACACAATCAAAACTGAGGCAAATTTGTCCTGGTCAAGCTTTTCACCCCTCCCCCAGAGAAGAGCAAATTAATACATTGCAGGGACTAGACTGTGATACAGGAAAAAAGCTGGGGGAGGACCTAATTATAGTCAGAAATATGACAGGGTGTCCTCCCATGATTTATTTTTTTTTAAACCCTCATTCAAGATACTGTTTGCCTTTGTTCTCCTTATCTAAATTTATCTTTAAAAACACATAGAGAATATAGCTGTACATGAAAAGTCTGGTGAGTTTAATCTCAGGAACACAGTTGAATCAGTTATCTTACCATATCTGATTAAACCTAAAATCAAATTATTAAGGCACGTGAAAGCACGGGCTACGTGTTCAGACAAGCCCAGCAGAATTTGTAGGTCGAATTAAAACGCTAGATTCCACCTGCTTCTACCAGAGCTATGGGCTTTTTGTTTTCATATAAATTACATTTTTTTAAAAATCATACACTCGTGTTTGCTCCCTGCTTCTTCTATTCTTCATTTAACTATAATCTCATACACACAGGCACACACAAGATGTTCCAGTACCGAGACAGAATTCCTTCTAACACCACGCTCATGTGAAAATAAAACCTTTAAGACCCAGAATACATACTATAAAAGACAGTTACAGCAACAAACACGTTCGATACGTTCAGCAGAGAGTCTCTGCCAGACAGTTAGACCAACACGATCCTTCCCTTCCCAAAACACGACCCCCTTCAGAGCGATCGGTACCAAAGCAATAATGACCTCTACCAGTGTCCTTCCCCCTCCCCTTCCAGCTTTGCTGAGGCTTAAAATCGTAACAAAGTAAGAGGCACAAAAACTTCATCTTTTTGCATGGCCTTGATGGCAGGGAGAAAAAACAGGGCCTAAAGCTACACAGGCTTGATACCTTTTGTTTGACCCAGTACTGAAAACGTCGTATCAGGTCAAGAGGTAAACTAAAACATGGGGCTTTTTAAAAAAAAAAAAAAAAAAAAAAAAAAAAAAAAAAAAAAAGGGCAAATGAAACATTTATCAAAAGAAAAAATAGACCAGCTGAATCTCATGAGCATTTTCCTTATGTTATCCACTGGAGACTGAGAGTAGCAAAAAGCTCTGGAGAAACAACAACAAATTAGGACTCGTGCTTCTCTACCACATCTACTCTCGAGCTCTCGTATAGCTTTCCATAAATTAATGCGTACGTTTCATAAGGGCCCTGACATCACAGGTGAAGGGGATCTCTCCAAAAAATGACTTTGGGAAATGACACTAAAAGCAGCTTTTACAATTTGACAGTAAGTCACTCCCACCTTGAAACGCACGCAGCAATAAATAAATAATCAATCAAAAGAAGCAGAAAGTTCCCTGCAGAAAGCATTCTGCAGCAGAACACCAAAAAAAGTTGGATTTTACTCTATAATTTTTTCAATGTCACCGCTCGACAAAATACAAGGCTGGGGGAGGAGCCATCGGTCGGTATCGGGAAATTCGGATTTAAAAAAAGGAAAGTTACCGCTTTTCATAAGTTAAAGGCAGACTCTAGGGAAAAAAAAGGAAAAACACAACCATGCAAAGTCCCGGTTCAATGACAGCTTGACACCGCCCCGCAAAAACTGAGCCGAAGTCGCAGCCGCGGCCGAGTGCGGGGCGAGGGCACGGTCCCTGGAACGTCGCCTGTCACCGCCGCGCTGCCACAGCGGACGAAGGGCAGCCGGGCAGCCCCACGCAGGACCTACCGTCTTGGAGTCCAGTTCGTGGTGGGGCTGAGCCAGGACTTTGTCTACACTCGCCGGATCCGCGAACGTAACGAACCCGAAGCCTCTGCGAGAGACAAAGAGCGAGGGGATGGGGAGAAGGGAGGGGGGGGAATGATGAGAACTAAAGACAAGGAGAGAAGTCATAAAAATAAATCGCTGTTTCCCCCCCTTCCCCAAAGCCTCCGGTTCTGAGGGAGGGCGGGCAGCCCCGACCCGGCCGCCCCTGCACCTCTCCGCCTCCACCGGCCGCTTTGTTTCCTCCTCCCGGTTGGAGGGATGCGGCGCAGAGAAACCTCCCGAAGAGCCCCACCGGCCACGCGTGGGATGGGGTGGGATGGCGGGTCCACCCGCCCCGGCGGCAACTCGCGAAGTTTGTCCACCCGACTCGGG